TCCTGCAAGTTTGAGATTTTTCCCTGCTTCAACACACCTAATGCAAACTAACACAGCATCAGCAGGGCTGTGCAGAGCTTAACAATCTTTAAAGAGATCTACTTAATCTGAATCAGGTGTGTCATAACAGGGGGATCTTTCAAACCTGCACAAACTGTGATTCATCAGTTACAACAAATTTGGTTATATAGTGCCACCCAATGGTGTCAGGGTTCATTTCTCTCCTTACAGAGCCTCATTTGCACCATTTCTTTCTTTTATTGATTAATTCTTTCATTCATTCTAGCCCCGACACTTTCTCTTTTGGTCTCCACTTGTCCAATATCATATATTTTAAGGACCTATCTTACAGTGCTGAGACATTCCAAGTTTGTGACTGATGGTTATTTGTTATATCTGTCGTTGTCTTTTTAATCTGTATTGTCTTTGCATTTCCGCGTAAATGAAGCCAAAGAAAATGGAAGACATTATGACTATTTCTTATAGGCAGCTGATAACACAATTGAAGATGGATAGTTAGATTTTTCTTTAATTTCTAGATAAAATTATTCAGATTTATTTTGTATTCCTGATTCAAAGTACAGTTTATCTGAAGTGGACAAATGTATTTTCATTTAAACCTTCCGTTCAGACCCTAGTTATAAATTGTTCGAGCTCCCCTGACAGTTTGAAAGTATTCCACTGTTCCAAAATAAACCCCAGCACAAGATGGCTGCAGTGCTGTTTATCTAGCTGCACATATGTTTTGCATTGGGAATGCACTGTGACACTGCCTGCTAGAATGTAGCTGTGTGGCTATTAAACCATGTTAGTTCTGTGAAGTAGCTTAATTTGAAGTTTTGACGTAGCAGACATACATCTGTAAGTCATTTGACATTTTTATTTTGCTCATAAAGTAAGCATCTCCCCTTAATTGTGTGGTTTAAACTAGAATATATACGCTAGAATATATCTATAGTCATGCTTGATTTATTATATCAACATCAGCATACTCACATGTCATCTTTTTTTGTTCAAAAGAACAACATGTGTCTGAAATACATTCTTTGGAGACTAGACTAGATGTAGACTAGATGTATTTCTGCTCTGCAGTACTAATGCACTCATAAAGAGATGAGATATCCGTCAGTCTGGATGCGAAGACAGTTTTCTGGCTGCCATCTGAGGTGCTAAACATTGTAGTCAGTGCAACAGGTGCAGGGTTCTGCCAACACGCTGTGATGGTACATCGCCAAAATAGGCTCCACCCTTGCAGATGATAAATTATTATCATTACTCTCACGGGCTCTGTTGTAAAAGCAACATCAGCTCAGACTGAAGAATGGGGTTATTGACAGATGTTGAAAAAGAGCTCGAACCACATAAACATACTGACAAAAGGCATATGTTGCTAAATGAAGGGTCATGATTAAAATTTGAATAAGTTTGTGTTATTTGGTGCATAGACAAATGTTGATGTTAGCTGAATTGATAAAACAACAAACAAAAAAACAAGAGTGTATCTTTTTTTAAATGATAAATCTGAACAGTGGACGGCCCTGAAGTCCAGCAGTGGTTCTCACCTCAAACAGCAAAAAAGAGCCTCAATGGAATTAAGAAAGCAGGAGCTGTTCTTTGGGACCATCACACTGTTATTTATGCTAAGATCAAACCACTCTGCGTTGAAGTTGAGTACTGGTCATAGAATGAGGAGCTTACCAGACACACTGTTGTGAACGGCTGAAATATGTAAGAAAATAACATAGACACCTCGCACGATTTCCCTGCTGTTTATACAAGCAGCACATTGGGAAGAGGTCTTGCATTCCTTTCAGGAGACAGATAAGAAACTGAGCCAGAAGAGGAATGATTCAAAGAATTTCCCTCAAACAGCTGCTGTTGTGTAGGAACTGATTGTGAAACCCTGGCTTTGTCACCTAAACAATAAGAACAGAACATTTTCGAAAACGTCTCTAGGTTAGCTTGATGCCAAGCATATTTTTTAAACTGATAACAGCCCACTTGATTTGATTAGAATGTAGCCCGAGATAAAAACAAAAGAAAAATCTACATACCAGAAACACACAGAAATGCAGCAGGTCGCTCTGGTTTCGGTACATGACCACAGGTCAGCGGCATACCACTGACAACTCTCACCTTTCTGTTCTCATTCACACCTGCTGAACTGCAGGGTGAAAGTAGAAAAATATACAGACCACATCAGCCAACTGGACATGGTTTCCTAAAAGTCAGAAAATTAATGGGTAGCGTTTGAATCAAAAGAATAATTGTTAAAAATGAATGCAGTAGAATTAAGTCACAGTACCTGTCTGGAGGTTGATTACATACAAGAACAAAAAAAACATAGAAAGGAGGAGTATCTTCAGATTGTTCTGTACTCATGTGCTTTATTTAAGTAAAGGACTCAGAAGTACTTTTCTACGTAGTTTATTGACTAAATTGTTAATTGTATGTGGCAGTCACATATACAGAACACACATGGCTTCCATTTACACCTCAAAATGTACTAAAGAGCTGATCATTGTTCCACAGGATGCTGCTAATTCCTTTATACCTTCATAATGGACATGAGACCGTAAAGCCAACGGTCCTTACTCATAACAGAGACTAAACATCCTCCCATAGGGAATATACCGCATTTATTATCGTATGTGTCATACAAAACATATAATGCCCATTAACATGTAGTAAATCCATCAACCGTTACTAATAAGAAAAGTATATGTTGCCTCATGAGCCTTGTGTCATCTATCCTCAGAAACCTCGGAAGCCCATGTCATAAACCACAGCTAAAGCCGATTGGGACTGTTTCCATCAGTCTGCCTTGTTGTTTTTTACTGTTTGCTTATCTCTTTGGCACCAAAGCCAAACCAAAGATATCAAGTAGAGGCCGAGACAGGCAAGGAAATCATAATGGTGTGCCACGACCAAAAATACCACCAACAGTGAGGCGTATATCAGTGCTTTTAGGATGTTGCTGCAGGAAAAGGTTTCCTTCCACCGCGATACCCCTGGGACACTTCCAGCCGGCCCAACTGACTCGCCAAAAGCTTCCCGATCCGCCGCCCTCGCGCCCGCTCCGTCCTCGCTGCCGCCGGCGTGCTGCTCCTCGTCCACGGACTCGCGGATGGACGGCATGGGTGCGGGAGGCGGTTTCCCCCGGCTTAACGAGGGCCTCCTGACCCCAGTCAGACCTGCGCCTTTGATCCGGTCTTTGCGGGCCGGCGCCGGCCCCCCGACGGCCCTCAGACAGTGCATGTACAGCTCCACCTCGTCGTCCGAGTCCGACCCCGCCGAGGCGCCGTCACTCTCGGGCTCGTCCACCGGCAGGCGGCCATCTTGTCCTCGTCCTTCGCCGTCGCCTGCCTCCTCCTGTGTTGGTTGGCCCTCCCTCGTATCTCCCTTGTCCACATCCAGTACATTGCTCACCAGAGCGGATAAACCATCGGCGACCCTGTTTGGTGCGGCGCCTGACCTCTCCTCACAACAGCCCATCTCATCAGCCCTCTCCTTCATTTCCATGTATGAGCCTGCACCTGTTGTCTCCGCCTCTCCGGCTTCATCAGCCACTAAATAGCCGTTACAGTCGGAATCCTGCTCCTCTTTGTTTTTCTGGTTTACCTCTCTCTGATCCTCTTGCTCCCCACCTGCTTTGCTTTCATGATTCAAGTGTATCTCGGTTTTTCCCTCCGCCTCCACCATCTCTCCATCGTCGACCTTTGGCCTCCCCACGCCGACCTCGTGTATCTCGGCAAAATGCTTCTCCGACTGCGTTTCCGCCTCCGCCGGCTGCTCCTTTTTATCTGTTTCGGGTATTTCTTCTGCACCGACGGTCTCATCTGTCTCGGTGACTTGAACACAATCGCATTCAGAGTCTTTATCAGCAGTGATCTCCACGCTTTCTGCCTCTCTCATCATCTCCTCATCTTCAAGCTCCAATGTGTTGTCCGCCGTGTCCTCTCTCCCTCCTGCGACAAACATCTCCTCCACTAATTCCTCCACGTTTTTCATCCCAATGTAAACTGTCCCGGCTGGATCAGAGTCCGTTGCCTCTGCATTTACGAGCTCAATTCCATCTTCATAAACTAGTATGTTACTTTCCTCCTCTTCAACCATCATTTCCCAATTTTTTTCCTCATTTTTATGTGCGGAATTAAAATCTTCCCCCTCTTTCGAGGCAGCTGCCTCCATCTCATAATGCTCTGTGGTTTCCAGAGGTGTTTCGTCTTTATGCTGCTCAAACACATCAGCCTGGATGTTGTTAGTCGCCCCTTCTTCTGTTGCAGATTCAGCTACTTTGGGACTTACATCACCCGAGGGATTTGTTACAGCTTCCTGTGGCACGAGTACTCCTTCACGTTCTCCCTCCCTGTTGCCAGCTTTCTCTTTTGTTTCTGAAGAGGTTCCAGGTGTCACTAAACCCCTCGCCTCCGGTTGACAGACGGACACAAGGTTACTCATGCTGCTGGCTGTAAATGTGTCATCCTCCAAAACTTGCACCAGTTTATCATCGTCTAAAGGTGAACTGATTTTGGATGTGGTCAGACTTTGGATGTGGTCAGAATGGTTCACCTCTGCACGATCACAGCCGGTCAGCTGTTCTTCTTCTTTGTTAATGTGCCCCGAAACCTCTCGCCTGTTACTCATTGCGAGTGTTTCATCGACATGAGCAACCACCGGTGCTGTTGTCTGCTCTGGCTGCTGACATTCGGGTGGCTCGGAGCAGCCATGGGTCAGCTTGTCTTCCTCGGCTCCCCCCTGGAAGACACACTCCGTGAGTGTTTGTGGATTCGACCGGTTTGCATCTAATGAAACATTCGCGGCATCTAGACGTTGTGATGTGTCTCCAAAAAAAGGCTCTGGACCTTTTACTGTATTTGCAGAAATCTGCCCCGGCTCATTTTTAATCTCTGCTGGATTTTGCACAGTGCATGTATGGTTTGTTTCTTCTGGAGGGGAGCTTCTTTGTGTGGAATTTAAGCTTTCGCGGTCTGATTCCCGGTCATCGGCGGCATCTTCCTTCACCTTGCAACAGTTTGTTTTCATTTCTGTCGGAGCCGTCTGCCCTCTTTGGTCGAGGGGATCGGTGATCCCGTGATCCACGGGATTTTCCTCATCTCCCGCAATCTGGCCTCCGCTTCTTGCAACGCCAAACACCTGATGATACAAAGGAGCCACCACTGTTCCAAACGTGAAGCCACTTGCCTGGCTAGCGAGGCTCTGGCCGCTTTGTGCAGCTGTGCTGTCCGCAGCTGCACGGCTCGTGCTCGGACTCTGGTGGATATTTGGCTGCTCTGCTTGTGCAGACCCATCAGCTGAGCACAGCAGGACGGCTGGGATATCCGTGACACCCACAGCTGGCGCTGACGCGGTCAGGTCAGATTTCCCTTGCTCTTTTTGAGACGTGTGCTCATGTGCGACATTATGGGGAACTTCATAAACAAACTCAGAACGTTCTGCTCCGCCGTTCCCCTCAGAGAATGGCCGTACATCTGCGTGTTTCCCCCCTGAGATTACATCTTCCGTTGGCTGTTTTATTTCTGGAAGTGAGTCATTTGCTTTTCTGTCCCTTTGAGCAAAGTGGTCCCTGACTTTGGCGATCCGCGCCGCCTTTCTCTGCCGTCTCCGGCTGTTGTTCTGTTTATTCTCCATCTGCCCAACAACAGAAAAAGGAACAGTTCCAACTTGGTCACACAGTAAATATGCTGTACTGAAAAAAAAGGGAGTGCAAGTCATTCTGGTGTTAATATCGTGCTGAGGGTGGATCATATCTTGTCTGCTGACATGGACGCAGGCATGACGTATTATCAGACCCAGAGGAAGTGTAAACAGAGCACAAAGTGTTCCTTTGCTGCTCAGTCATATATTTTACATGACTGGTATTCCAGTCATGTGACATTCAAGATGAAAGCTGAGCAAGCCTCATGTCAAGTTTCCAGTTCCTCAGGTGTCTAAAAGCGCAGTTACAGGTAATATCACTTTAAAGACACAAAGTCAAGTTTGGAAATTATAAATAGTTTGCAGGTTGTAAAACATTTCACAGTGGGAAATGACAAGGCTGCAGACAAAGTTGTGCTACACTCCGAAATTTAGGGCATTTGCCAGTGTAACCTACCAGTAATTTCTGTCCCTCTTTGGCTGATTTTCTTGACGTACCATCAGAGACTTTCTTGGCTACTTCTTTTCCTTTGTCAGACACATCTGGAGAAAGGACATACTGTAGAGTTAGTTAACATGGGGCAACCAAATTTCTTGGACTTTTTCCCATCTAAATCTTCATTTTACGCACACTGCAGTCAAGATTCACCTGTTTCCATATATTGCTGTGCTGAGGCCTGCTCAGATGAATTGTTTTCCATAGTTGACACGTTCTGACTGTAAATCAATCAAATTCAGATCCGTCAGACTTCATTTGTTTTTCTGTCTTTCACATTCAATGCAAATATGAGCAGTGTGTAGAACCCACAACACAGGACAGTTAGATGGTAGCTTCAGTGATACACATGGTTAGAGGAGATCCAAAGTTTTGCTGATTGCGTGTTTCACTTTGCCACTCACGAGGTGAATTAACAACACTTACGCCACAAAACAGGAGATCATTTCCACCCTGATAAGCTTTTCGTGTTAGTCTTCAAATACATTGCACCTGAAAGAAAATAAGCAATGTTTTCTTTTGCTGGATGATTTGGATTAATGTTGGTAAATGGTATACCGACTTGTAATTATATAGTACTGTTATAAACTACATGTCATTCAATCACTCACGTGCTTGATTAACAACTTGGGGTTTAGCGCCTTGCCCAAAGACTCTTGGACATGTGGCTCAGGGAAACATGGAGCTGAACCGCTGACTTTTCAGTCAGTACGCGACTGCTCTTTGCTCCTGAGCCACAGCCAGCTAAGATTATTGATGGTTCTTTACAACAATCATCAACTGTTTAAAATAATTTGGGTCAAACTTCTAAACTTCTAAACATACAAGTCAGCAAAGATGCAAACACACTGGGCCGCAGCTGTAGCCTAATGGGTACAGCGGGGCGGACCATATGCAGAGCCTCTGCTCGCAAGCGGGCGGCCTGGGTTCGAATCCAGCCCATGGTCCTTTCCCGCAGGTCTCCCCCTCTCTATCTCTGCCCCCTTTCCTGTCAAGCTACTGTCATTAAAGGCCACTAGAGCCAAAAAAATCTTTAAAAAAATAAATAAAAAGATGCAAACGCACAATACAAATACAAATCTGAAAAAATAAAACCACTCAAGAAGATTTTACCGTAAGTAGACTGACCGATGACAGGTGAGGGTGCCATGATTAGGTATAAAAGGACACTCGACCAATAGGGAAAATTTTCAATGCAGTTTTGGGTCATGGCTCCCCACTTTGTGCCAAACTCAGTTGAAGAATCGTCAAAATGTTTATGCTGATGGACCTTTCAAGATGCCAAAGGACTTTAATCTTTTGGAACCTTTTTGATGTAACACAGTCTTCTGGTGCATCCAGAATGTGTTTTGCAAAAGGAGGAAGTCATAAATGACAGCTATATGGTGACTTTTGGTTTTTGGTTAGATTAGTCCAAGTTTTTGCTGTTTTAAAGTAAACATACATCAGGATATAAACACTGAGTATATGTGGGTGTGTGAGTTTTACAGACTCGTGCTATATTAAAATAATGTGATATTGCATCATCTCGTGCAAACAAAAACACATAAGCTTTATAGACACAGATTCCTCTTGCAAATCTATAACAGTAAGTTCCCAACAGTTCCCAAATGCTTAAAAAGTGGAGCTAAAAAGAATCTCGACTACTTTGAAAACAGCGTCCAGAGATCTGTCAACTCTTAGACAACATAGATAATAAACAGTTTTGTCACAAGAAAAGTTAATTGAATTGTGTTGACATAAAAATTCGCGACGATCTTCTCGATGAATCCCTCTTCACAAACAAGCTCTTAACCTTACCTGACAGTCTTTAGGCAGCTCTTCTTGTTCACATTTTCGGTCGCTGTTTTCTCTAGCTCCTCTTTCATTCTGTGATGACAGTAGAGCACGTAGTTTCTGTTGTTATTGTTAGCCCAGAATGTTCCCACTGGAGTTTCGTACCGCAGGCAAAAGTCGACTCTCACTCCCTGTCTCCCAAACGGAGGCACTAACGTGAGCTTAAATGAGAAGCAGTCCACCACACCATCACTGGACCCGGGGATGTACTCCGCCAGGAGGTCATAGTGGGTGGACCAGTTGTCCAAAGTTGTTCTGATGTACACTGCCTTACTGTAGGAAATGTTCAGGACGCGGATGACACCTTTTACTATGGTGGTCCCTGGTAGTAACTCGATTGCTTCCAGCTCTATTTTCTGTTCTTGGACTTTGGCAAGTAGCTCCTCGGAAGACAGCGGAAGAGAAAAAGTAAAAGGTGTGAGGTGGTACTCCCCTGCATCTGTACCTTTACGCTCCAGTGCATCATATCCCGGCAGTTTAGGTATATCCCACGTGTCGAACTCCTTCACTTGCACTAGGCTAAGGCCTTTGGCATCTGCAAAGGACACTCTCCTAGACCCACAGGGTGGAGGCTCAAACTCCGAGTCTTCATCACTCAAAGAGCTCTTTCTCCGAGGGAGCGGAGAGGATTTGGGCCTGATGCCAATGGCCACCTCGCCCTCATCGTCGTCCACGTCCAAGGAGCTGAGGCCCGGGACGGCCAAGAAGTTACCGGCCTCGAAAAGCCTCGGCTCCCCCGCACACTCCATGAAGCTGCCTGTGAGAGTCAGCGGGGAGACTGCAGCGCTTCTGTTTCTGGCAACTGACATTCAACATGCTCTGACTTAACAGATGGAGTCGAGTTACAGATGACATTGTTGCAAGGGCCAACACTAAAAATAGGCCAGAAGGGACATAAAGTATGTACAGTAGTTTAAGCTCTGAAAAATAATATATCAACCACTTGGCTCTTTGAAGCAGAGTGTTTTATGTTATGTAAAACAATCTAAGTTGTTAGTTGCTAACTAACTCTCCGTCTGTATCAGTACATTAATAATTTTTTCTGTGGGAATTGATCTTGTGTAACTGACCAAATTGCTCCCAGGAGAGACAAAGTCGTCGCAGGCAAACTTTAAAACTGGAACACCGGCCATCCCATTTCCCATATTAGGCCTATAACATAATTCTCTGATGGTGCAACGACCGGAGAGGATTGATAGTGAGACACAACCCCGGCACAAAAGATTCAGATTATTTCACTCGGTGATCGCATACCAGAATTTATCAGCCCGCAGCAGATAATAGATTTTTCCGGTGTTCTGTTTCCAGCATTTGGGTGGTTAGGTCGTAATCAGAGTGAATAAATAAAACACATACCTTAACGGTGAGCAAGAATATTCTATCTTAACTGACGAATTGTGGTCACCGTCTTAGATTAGAAGAGATGTTATAAAAGCATGAAGAGGCTGACAGGAACGAGGACAGTCATGTCCAGACTGTCGGGGGAGGGACGCTCTGACCAGAGGGGATATTTCCATTGATGTGCTCAGAGTTGGATCAAACTGTGACGATAAACAATGGCGGAAGGCAGTCAGGGACCAACTCACGCTTTATACATTGCAGAAGACAAAGCAGGATTAGACTTCACCACACGATCTGAGGCAGGGGAGAGTGGCGGGGGGGCAACAGCGACACCTGATCAGAGCATCTTCACCACCCGGGTCCATCCTCCTCCCACCGCCACCGGCCTCCAATCTACAGACGCGCAGAGATCTCCAAAGCCGTTGCTCTCTTACGTCGCCCTGATCGCCAAGGTAATCCTCTCCTCTCCATCCCAGAAGCTCAACCTGGGGTCCATCTACAAAGTCATGGTGGAGCGGTTCCCCCACCTGAAGAGCCGGGGCCCCGGCTGGAGGAACAGCGTCCGCCACAACCTGTCCGTGAACGACTGCTTCGTCAAGGTGGGCCGCTGCGAGGACGGTCGCGGCCACTACTGGGGGGTCCATCCGGCTCACCTGAAAGACTTCCAGCATGGGAATTTCAAGCGGCATCGGAACACCAGAGGGAGGAGGAGGAGGGAGCAGAGTGCGACTTGGATGGACACCGATTGCCAATTGCTTGGAAGGTTGTCCGGGAACAGATGGGAGTCTGGGCTTTGGGTGGAGGATCAACGCCCCCTGGAGGATCCGAAAAGGCAGCAGGGGTCTCTGGACTGGATCAGACCATGTCAGGAGCCCTGGAGCGTCAGCGTGGGTCTACTGAAGCTCCCCGGCTCGATGAGAAGTCACTGTTTTCCAGAGAGACTCTCAGATTTATCCATCAAGGCTCAGTATCTGACGTTCAGACATCACTGGTGGCAGAGTTATCGGGTCCAGAAAGGCATGGCAGAATTATGTGACAGCAGAGTTGTTATGTCGCCAGTACAGCCACTCAGGCTTCCATGCAGTTGGTGCATGTGTCCAGTTATGAATGACTTAATCAATCCGCTGGCCTTCAAGGTTGGATTTTAGTTGGATTTTTTTCTACACTAAACCTTTTCACTCCAACACAAACACAGGGGAAGATAAAGCCGATCCAGTAGGTGGCAGAAAGTTGCTTTAGTAACAAATATACAGATAGATAGACAGATATGCTCTCATATGTACCCCTCTTCAGGATATTTTTATTGTGATAGAATGATTGTTTTCGCCTCCTCAGTCAATTCAATTTACAGTAGTAATTGATAAATGCACGATAAAGATAATTTCTTCTTTGTCTTTCGTCCTGGGCTTTGACAATACAAGAAACCAGGGTCTGATTTAATCTAATGGGTGCATGTAGAAGAGTTCTAAATATAATAGAATATAAATATAAAAAATATATAATAGATATCATTTATGATATAAATACAAAGCAGCATAAAACACGTAGAGATCAGTGGTTATAAATAAAAGATGATTAAGCAGATTTGTGCATCGTTTCAGATCCAGGATGTTGTTTGTGTGTCTGTGGGTGGCTGAACATCAACACCCCAGGGTGCACCGCATTTATCCGCAGCCTAAATTAAAACACTTTTTATTTCTAATCGCTGCACTGATATTCTGCTCAAACAAAAGTGCGGGTATGGCTGTAAACATCCCTTTGATACTGGTTTGACAGCTGAGTAGTTGCTGAGCTCTTTTTGTTGTTCAAATCTCACAGCATGTCTAAATAAAGTCACAGACAGCTATACTTGTCCCTTTTTAACAGATGAAGACTTTTTTTCAATCAAGGGGCCACAAAAGATCTGTGTTTTTGCTAACAAACTGATTGAAAATAAAGAAGGAAAAATAATGCCTGCGTGCAACTCTTGCTGAACTTATTGCTTATAGAAATATTAAGAATTCATTTTTACACTAGAAGCAGCTTAATGTTGCACACTTCAGTTTTTTGGTCTTTTTTTACCAATTAAAAGGCTATTTTGAAAATGTGGGGAAACATTCATTGTGTAAGTAAGGCTCCTTTTGAAATATTGTGCCTAGAATAAAGATTATTTGTACATCCAGCTAATTTGATTGCTTGTTTCTTTCCTTTTTTCTTTCTTTTTTGTGTCTGACATTGTGAGAAATGTTATTCTTGTTGTAACCACCACACTGCAAGCTCCTCCCCCTCAGGTAGGAGCACAGCTTCAGGAGTTATCTCCCCTCCTCAGTCCAAAGCTGAATGACTTGGAGGCACAAACTCTGCCTGCCTGCTGCAAATTCCACCATCCGTGATTACGGTACGTAGGTTTTCTATATTTCTGTCACAAGACGAAATAGATTTTTTCTTTACTGAGATATGCATAGATCAACCACTTGACTTTTTTCTGTTTAGTTCTCCTGTACATATTTTTAAAAAATTAATAGTGTTATGTTTCAGCTATTGAGGCTTTGACTTCTTTTCCCTTGGTCTATTTTTTTTAAATAAAATGGTAACTCTGGTTGATAAATGCTACAAAATCAACTAAATTTGCTCTTACTTGAACGTATTAATTGATTTTGTTCTGAATTTCCTATTAGAACATTAAATCATATTCTATGTGTTGAAATACTGAAGTTTTCTTATTTCCACACAATTCAATTCTCACGCAAAAAACTGAGGACCTGCTGTGAAATATTCTGTTCTAAAATGTATTCCGAGCCTTTCTGAATATTCATCTTTTCTTTCATTTGTACATTTCCTGTCTCTTCTTTTTTCTAAATAAAAAAAGTCTAATAAAACAAAGTCTAAACTTTTCTTTTTGCTTTGTATTTTAGTACAGAACACAGCCATTCCCGTGGGATCTGAAGCTTTGTCGGGAGTCTTTGAGTCTGGCGGCTTATTTACTGTTGGCTGTTTTTCTTTCAGGAGCTGAGGAGAGATGCCTGAGTCTCCCCTCAGCCCCACCGCAGCCCGTCAGAGCCCAGCCCGCAGCCTCCTCAGCCACTCCGACAACGGCATGGAGAAAACAGCTAACGGAGGCTCCTGCGGTGGGCCGAGTTGTGAAAACTGGCAAAGCCTTCTTCACAAGCAGGTGAGTTCATCCCCGCTCCGCCTCTCATTTCCCGTTTCTTTTTCACTGAACTCTTTCTTTCCCGGCTTTACAAGTAGGTAACGGAAGAATATCAAGCAAACACAGAAATACTCCCCCCCCCGCCGTTGCTCTAGATTGGAGATCCTCTGACAGGACGCTGAACCAGGACTCTGAGGCTTTGTTGACAGGAGCAGATTTCATATGAAGCTTGACCCGAGTCGGGTGTTGACACCAAGAACTCATGTTTGTCCTTCATTATTAGTTTGCAAGTCTGCTCCGGGGGGGGAATAATTGTGCACGGGACATAGGTCAAACAGATGCAAAGGAGGGGGCAAATAAGCATTGCTCAACACAATTTTATGGTTGTCTTTTGCATTTCTGTGGCTGGTAATCTTAATCTGCTGGATCAATGGAGCAGCCACAGTAATGAACGCATGGCAAACGTTGTTTCCCTCAGTCTGTTCTCTCATCTCAGGGGTTTTGTTCCGTCCCCCCCCCCATAATTCACTCTCTAATGACTTTTTTCTTGCTTTCAGTTAGCGTGTTAAGTGTATACTCTCTCTCTTCCACAGGCTTTCAGAATGCAACAGAGCAATTTTTACCCTGCACACATTAAACATGTTACAAATTCGAATCAGTGACAGATTCCATTTTAACTTAATTGCAATTAGATATTTTTAATTGGGTTGTTTTTCATTTCATATATGTAGCATGTACGCGTGGATTTTCAGCCCGAATGCCATAATGAACCTTTCTGATTGTAAAGATACAAATTTGAGATAACTTAAAAATAAGAAGCTGAAAAGGCTTCCTAGAGAAAACTTGTGGTGATTCGATTTCAATCAAACCAAACGACCAGATTGAAAGTTTCAGCATTAAAAATGAGCTTTAGTTTTTGTATTCCCGCAGAATTTAGGACATTATGCCTGCTGTACCAGAGTTCTTCATCTGTTACCTCACAGTTGCCTTATCGTTTTAGTCAAAGCACATATATGATTTAAAAAAATGGCACATGTTTATATTTATATAACCAATAGTCCTTTCTGGTACCTGTATGTTTATTTTTCCTGTTTCTTAATGCTACAATATCAGTTTCTGCTGTCACTTTGTGACTACAAAGGGGAACATTTTCTCTGTCAGTTGTTACTCAATCACTAACAGAGCAGACCAGTTATTATTCTGTGGGTGTTTTCCTTTATTAATACCCATACACTTCTATTAGGTGCCACAACAAGCGTGAAATTGTGTTGCTAATAATGTCCGCCGTATCTCCCATCTCATTTGGGGTCAATGACACAATCAAGCATGATTATGTTCACAAAGGGCTACAACACCATTGTGTAATTGGGAAGATATCCTCTGGATGGTTATTACTGTTTATCACCGGACACCCTTGACTTCACTCTGGATTGTCGCTCGTTTTAATTGTCCGTTTTGTCTTTCAGGTCTTTCTGGCTATGATGAGTCCTCATCAGATGCAGCAGCTTCTGTCCCCCGGCCAGCTGCAGGCTGTCATCCAGCAGAAGCAGCACGCCCTCCTCCTGCAGCAGGTATTTAGTCACCGCTTCGTTTATGGCTTATGCCAATACCAACAGAGAGGTGGAAAACAGTCTTATTGTGGGAATATGTCATTTAAATATACTACGTAATTAAAAAAAAACTCTACTACTATCTACTCTGATCAAACTACTTTCAATGCCAAGAGTGAATTAAAAACTGGTCACTATTAGGGTCTCTTCTCATTCTGTGTATCGTACACCATGCAGAAGGCCATGAGCCTATGTGGCTGCTTTGTTTTAAATCAGATGACTTGTAATTAAAAAAAACTTTAGAAAATTGTTCAATCTTAAAGGTAAAATAATTTGTACTATGTTAACAAAGAAAAACAGACCTTCTTAAGTGGTTTATTATATGATCACTTATCTTTGGATGTAATGTAATTTTACTTCCGTAACCCCTTTGAAATTCTCAAATGGAAACATTAATCTTAAATTGATTGTTTGAACAGTTTTTTAATAAGCTTAAAGGCGTTTTATGAACTTTGTTAAATTGTACTAAATGCAATAGCTGTCTCATTTAGTGAAATGTTGTTCTGTGGGCAGGAGGATACAGGATTCAAACCTGCAACCAAAAACTAAACAGCCTGCTGTAGAAAAACAGAGGAATAAAATTACATAAAAAATAGTGACATCTGAAATAAGAACTACTCTACATGATTTTTTATGAAAAGAAAATGATATCAGGCAATTCTGATTCGAAAATGTTGTAGTGTTTGCTAATTAGCCTTTGACATGACATCATGTTTGGGCCAAAAATGTTGACAGTAATTAATTTCTTTAATCAGCTGTTTTGGCAAAAAATGGGAAATGAACATTGGCAATTCTAATATTACTATTCGAAACTGTCTTAATATGGGATTATCTGAGTGAGAAAATATTAATATTTGCTCAAGAGCAAGAAATTAATTACCATGAAATCGTCCTATTTATTATATTAAGAAAGTAACTTCTGTACAATTACAATAGAGGGATTTATATAAACATAAGAGATAATCGCTTCTCTCTGAAAGATTTAAACAAGGTCCATGGATAACAGGATTATTAAAAACGCTCATTATGTCATTTGAGTAGGCATACATGAGAGTTATGGACAGTAAAATTGCATGAATGATTCATATGCATTTACAATGTGTCAAAAATCAAGACTATAAAAAAACACTGGTTAATTTATGTCTTTATCTATATAATTAGCTGTGTCACTTTCAATGACTAATACTTATCTTATTCTTTCATATAATTTCTACCTTTAAGAAAAGTTTTATTTCATGACATTCTTTATGGAAATATAATAAGATAGGCAAATCATACACTACCACAGATAGGCTCTTTTGATTATACTTTCTCTTTTGTTGTTACTGCTTGTCTAAAATGCTGACTCAAGTAATCCAGCAACCTTTTGCTATCAGTTAATCTGAAATATATTTGTTTGTCACTTTTCCCCCTTTTTGTTAGCAACACCTGAAAGAGTTCTACAAGAAACAGCAACAACAGATTCAGCTACTTCAACAGCAGCCCGGCAAGAAAGCAAAGGTAGATGTTTTTTATTTATTTCTCTCTCTGACACACGTAATCTGCAAACCTCACATTCTTAAAAATAAGCACTTGCATCATTAAACAAACTCAAACCTGTAGCCTGTCGTATCAGTTTGCACTGATTTTAAAGATTGATGCTGGTATCAAATGGAAAAGTTTAGATGGATTTCAGTGGAAAAATGTATAGAAAAGATCAAATGCTCAGATATTGAAACCCCTGACTTGAAAATGAAGTGGCTACATCAGTTTTGGATTTTTGGTTTAGTTTTTTGGTGATCTGGCCGTATCTAAAACATAAGCACTTGACAAATAGCTCAGTGTGCAGACTTGGTTAATTGAGTCCAAAAGTTGCTGTAGGTTTGGGTAGATGGACAGACACTGAGCAAAAAGATTCCCTGTCCGGTTTTCCTGCATAACTTTGAAAGCCAGAGCGTTGTGTTCTGTCCTCCAGGGCCCGGTGCAGCAGCTGGTGCTGCAGCAGCTGCTCCACCAGCAGCAGCAGCACCACCATCAGCAGCAGCAGCTCCTCCTGCTGCTGCCACAGAAGCCGGCCCCCTCTGCACCGGCCCCTCCACCAGGTCCCCCCCCCGCACATCTAACACCTCCCTCATTTCCATTCCTGCTGCTGACTTCTTTAATAACCCACAAACAAATACATATATATATGATCCACACGCATGCTTTCCGCATGCTTTCCCTTTTTTTTTTAGTCCATCTCAGCCTTGCAGAGATGCAGCAGATATGGAAAGAGCTCACATTTGGAGCGTCAGAAGACGGAGGAAAATGGAAAAGCACCCCGGCTCCATCTGCTCAGAAAGTCGTATTAGGGGGAGTGACCGGTGACCGGAGCGGTGACCAGCGGCCTCTCTCCCCCCTCGGGTTAGAGTGGTGAGATCTATATCTGTGTGTGCTGGAAAACACGTTTAAATGACGGTAGATATCAAAGACGTGTCGTCTGCAGACATTTTTCTCTCTCGGGCGGGGAGGCTGCACGCGTTTGAAAAATCCCTTTCAGTTCCCCTTGGGAGGGCACGTTTTGTGTTGCGTGTCTGCTTTCGTGTTCTGCCACCTTCAGCAAAGCAAAAGTTTACCAGACTACAGTGCATGTCCCCAATCAAAAAGAAAAAAAAAGAAAGAATTCTGTTTATTTTTCAGTGCTCCTTGCCACCTTTCTTTTTTCGTTCCACACAAGCAAAAAAGAAAGCTGAATTATCTCCTGTTTGTTTTTAAGTGCGGTTATGATGCCTGGCTACTATGTGTGTGTGTGTGTGTGTGTGTTTTTTTCATAATAATACAGACTTTTTTTGTCTTTCTGTTCCTCCTCATTCAGCTCTGCTGCACACGCTCTCTTTGGTCACGGGGTTTGTAATTGGCCTGGCTGCGACTCGGCCTGTGAAAACCTCACTCAGTTTATCAGGTGGGTTTTAGCTCCACCCTCATGCTTTTTGCTTTTCTGTGTAGTCATATATGCACAGACAAAAAATAAAATAATCAAAAACATGAAAAACAAACAGAGAAATTCAAGTTATTATGATGCTGGGTGATAGATTTACTGTCTTAATCATGCTGATGTTTGGTTACAAAACAAGCCCAAAGATAAGGGGACTCACCCCCACCTTTGTGCTCAGGAATGGGATTTAACTCATTTCACCCAAAGTGTTCTAATTTCAATTAACTTTAAAAATACTCCCGACTATTTTTAGGTGTTCTTTCTCAGACGGATCGATTTAAACTGGAAACAAACTAGTGAAAGACGAGACCGTCGGAGTCTCGGTGATCAGGTAGATGTAGATAAAAAGGTTTAGATAGACATCCTTTAGTTAGAATGAGAGGCCAAACCTAACCAGATCTTAATTTATTTTTGCCAAAGAAGAAGCACCAAATTCTCAACACCAAATGATGGTTTCTGGAGTGGTAAATGGCTTTTCTACAAGAAGTCAAAATCTTTTGTCTTCAATGCCTCAAATGAACCTACAATATTTTCAATAAGGCCTTTCTATAGTAACTTTATCATCTGAGGAAATGGCTACCTTATTATCTGCTTTCCAGAAGAAGGTTTCTACTTTTTCTAGAAAGCATCAATTATTTTAAATTTACAGAATTCTAGGACAGCTTATGAAAGGGATCCATGGCTGTTTATTAATGGGAGTATGAATAATAATTTAAAATTCCTGGAATTTTCTTGCCAAGACAAAGCTATTATGTTTGGGGGTGCGATATGAAATGACTTTAAAACCATTGAACTATGTGCTTTTTCACCCCCCTTTTCGCCTTTTGACCTCTGGTAAATAAGTTCCTCTACTCACTTAACTTTGCGAGGCACCACACTGATGTTTTTCACACCTGCAGAGACTCACAGCTGTAGATGTAGATGAACTTAACCCATTTAAAACCCCTGTGTGTGTGTGTTCCTTTTTTAGGCACATAAGCAGGGAACACTCTCTGGATGACAGAAGCACAGCACAGTGCCGAGTCCAGATGCAGGTGGTCCAGCAGCTGGAGCTCCAGGTATGCAGCATGGAAGTGGTTCAATCGTTTACTTTCACTGTACAAACCGAAAAACATACGAAAAAATACAACAACACATGTCTGCTGTGTATTACTGAAATGATCTTTCTAGGAAATGTTCCAACAACTCTCTGCCCAATTCTCTTTATTGATGCCCGTCCATTTCAGCGATCTGTGTTCAGTCTTTTCCGTGTGACACCATTCCCACTGGCCCCCCCTGCCCTCCATCCCCTTTGTCTCCTCTAACAGCTCTGTAAAGAACGGGAGCGTCTGCGGGCGATGATGGCTCACCTGCAGATGGCCTCGCCGGACTCTCCGCCCACTCAGTCTGACCCGGCCACTGACCCTCCAGGCCCGCGCGGTGATGGCCGGGTAAATGAGCCGTGAGGGCTGAAGCGCAACAGATCAGCGATAGATAAAAAAAGGGAATAAACGGGGAATATTAGTGGTATCGCATCAGACTCTCCGCTTTGGTAAAAGCTTCTGTGGCACTGCGATTGACCATCAGAACTCCTCCAACTGGACGAGCTGGAAGAGTCTAGAAGGAAGTCGAGTATTTACTGACAAACGAGAGCACTGCTAACAACATCAGAACCTGGCGAATGATAGAACGATGCGTTTTTGAAAGCTTCACTACATTCCTCCTCAGCTTGACTCCAGCTGTTTGCTCCCGCTGTGTTTCCAGACAGCCGACATGCTCCGATAACGCGTGGAGCTAATCGTGTGTTAATCCCGCAAAACACTGCACCCTAATCACAACACCCGCCACACAATTTCACCCCGCAATTAACGATTTGCTCCCTTCTTATTGAGGCATTAGACGAATCACCTCTGAGGAGGTGGATCCAATCGCTCCGTCAGGCTCCATTAAAGATGTCCCGCTCTGTTTTGGTTCCCCGCTCCTTTGTTAACTTTGATGGTCTCGCTTCTCAGATCAGCCCAGACCCCGCTGGTTTGCCCCCCCAATCCCTGGACTCTGTCAGCCCCGGATCGGAGGGTTGTGCAGAAGAGCCGGAAACCCGTGAACTGTGCTCCGGGCCCATGAGACACCATCATCATCATCATCATCATCATCATCATCCCCCCCCGCTGGCCTTCCCTCTGTCCTCAGGTGAAGCCGACAGAGTTTTTTTATGCTTGCCTGCGTTGGCTCACTTCTGTTTTAATCGCTCTCATTGTCCTTTTTTTTTCCTCTCCAGAAAACGAGTACGAGCTTTACAAGAACACTGATATCCGACCGCCTTTCACCTATGCCACACTGATTCGACAGGTAGGACCAGGGAGGGAAAAAGAACCGGAGCTTTTCGTCAGGAAATTTGAAAAAGAATGAACGCATGGGACATGTTTTAGAAGGATCATTTAAGAACATACTCTAATATTCTGTCATACGGGGAAAAGAAAGCCCCAAATGTGTTCCATTTTACTGGTTTTTGTCAGTTTAAAAATGCCAGGGGCAGCACTGTGTGGCAGGACTAAAAGGCCATTTATTCCAAAACTATGAGCTGAAAGCATAGTTTGGACCACGCTGTGTATCCTTAGAACATGTTAGCCCTCTGCTTTTCTGCTTTTACTTTAACATAAGAACAAACCTTTTTGATTGAAAGATATTTTGTGATAATGCCTAAAAATGAAAACGAATCTCGGAGTCAGTCCTGCAACAACCTTAACAATAAGAGTGATAGATGATGAACGTCAAGTTACTATGAAAAAAGAACCGAGCACAACATTACTGAGTTATTCAGTTCAACATAAAGAGACTGGATCAGAATCCTGAGGCTTGTGCTCCTCAGATTACTCGCGAGCCACTTAAATTTCCTCCTGTTTAGTGTCACACTTTGTCCATGTCCTCTCCAATCTGCAGGCTATTATGGAGGCATCAGACATGCAGCTGACGCTTAATGAGATATACAACTGGTTCACCAGGACGTTTGCCTATTTCCGACGCAACGCCGCCACTTGGAAGGTACAGACAATTACCCGTGAACCCCGCTGTGCGCGGGACGTGATTTATGCGGCACGCATCCGGTAACGCGCCTCTCGCTCCGACTCAGAACGCAGTCCGCCACAACCTGAGCCTGCACAAGTGCTTTGTGCGGGTGGAGAACGTGAAGGGGGCGGTGTGGACGGTGGACGAGGACGAGTACCAGAGGAGGAGATCCCAGAAGATGGCAGGGTAGAGAACTCCCCACCGGCTAATCCCGGATCCGCCGTCAGGCCTTCCGTTTTAGATTAAGAAAAAACTAAAATGAAAGACGTTTGAATGACATAATTCCACAATAACCAATGCAATACAGCATCTCATCAACCAAATACCCATTTTACATAGAAATACATCTCCAAATTATGAGGTAAAAAGTTAAAAAGTGCCACAAGGTGAAGATTATTATATATGTATAAATAAAAAAATAAAAAAATAAATATATATAAATAAAAATATAAAATATAGATAAAAAATATTTAATAAAAATATATATATATCTATATAAAAATCATATAAATATTATTATTTTTTTTTATTCAATTTATTTTGTACTTGTTTGCTATACTTGTATGCCCTGGTTTTTACTCTGTGCACATTCCTGTGTCATCACAGGCCAAAATAGGCTCTTTCTTACATTTGCCGTGCTGAACCTGTTGATTTTCCAATCAAATGTTGATGAATAAAACAGGTCTGTCATCAGCTCCTGTGCCGTTCTGCTGATCTGACAAATCACATGCCTTTTCTGTTTTTTCTGCAGAAACCCATCACTGATGAAAACCGTGTCTTCCAAACATTCTTTTGGACCCTCTCTTCGTGCCACCTTACAGGTGAGCATCACCCACTCGTTTTAAACTCCCCCCAGCCGCCCCAAACCGTCAGACGGTGTACTTTGCTGGAGATCTGGCCAATCCCTGATGAGTTTCTGTGGCAGGTTGCTCTGGCGGAGGCCTCGCCGCCGGGCGGCCAGAAGCAGAGCGTGAGCCGAAACCTGAGGAGCCACTTCCAGCAGAGCCAAGCGGCCGACAGGAAAAGCCCCAGAGAGCAGGACTTCCCTCCTCAAATGCAGCAGTAAGCACTGCGTTACAACAAAAATATGCATTGAAATGAAATGCTCAAATCATTGCTTGATGTTGACATGACCAGAAGCCGGTTTGACGCTTTTTACAGGCAACTTTTGCTAAAGGACGAAGAGCTGGGCGGGGATGACCAGGACTGTCTGCTTCAGAGGATGGAACCGCTCAGTCTGCAGCGCGACGGGACCGGGAGTGTTGAGGAGCAGTTTATCTTTTAAAAACAAGTGCAAACAGAGACATTTTCCCCCCCTGCTCACGCTTTAGTCGCAGTTTTGGTTCCATATTACAAGATTTCCATCGTTACAAACGCTGATCGAAAAATATCAGCAGAAAAAAACAATCCTTATGTTGGGATTTTAAACATGTAAACAAAAGCCAAAGTGAAGAATTTCTTTTTTAATTGTGTTTATCTGAAGAAAAAGAAAAAGAAGAGTTTCACAGGAAGAAAGCAGTATCACAATAAATAGTTAAAAATGTGCTTTATATACTGTTCTCTTCAGTTTTAGTATTTTGTATGTGAAGATAATATATGCTGTCAATTCTTTGCAGTGTCTTTTAATCTTGTTTTTTATTTTGGGACTCATCTGTACCACTCACGTGATTCCTGTGTGATATTTAATGGTTAGTTTGCTGCTGAGTGCATGCAACTTGTTCTGCAGGTCTCTGTCTGCTGGTGTGTGAATTGTTGAATAAAATAGTGTTAAAACCTGTTTCGTTATTGCACAGAGCGTCAACCTGAAACTGAATTACATTCAAATGAGATCAAATTCTTGCATGCACATCTGTGAAGCTTCCCATGGTCAAGCTTGGAAAGTGTAGTTTAGGCAACTGGACGTGAAGTTTTCCAGAAAACGTTTTGCTTCATCAGGTGTAACTGATGGTGGGGGGCTCTGAGGTTAATATACTGTAAGTCTAACAAAAGAATTCGGGGATAAAACAAAAACAAAAAGTGTCTGTGATCCCTCCTACTGAACAGGCCATAGAGGTCACACGGGGAGTGAAGGGGCTGTTAATGGTCATTAAGGGGTTCTGATGGGTCGGTAACTCCCTGGTCAGAGAGGTTTCGGTCACATACCTCTTTTAAGTGTGAGTCAGGTGAGAGCAGGTGAGAGGGGAATCTTTTATATCCACATTGATCCATTAACAGGATCCTACGATGAGTTCTTGAGTATGTTCGTGAGTCATGAAGCTCCCAGTAGACATATTTGATTTAGAGTATCCAGATCGTTCAATACACTTTCAAGTAAAGAAGAATAGATGTCTTCAGCTAAGTGTCCATTCACAGGGAAAGTTATAGGCCGTTGAAGAACCTCACAGCTTTTACTAGATGCACCATATTTATGAGGTATAACACTGTAGGGAAAACAAAAATAAAGCCTAAAGGGGAAAAAAGGTTCATAGGATAAAGTCATAAAAGCAAAGAATTCAGAAAAATACAAGCAGTGGTTTAAAATGTACCAATCATGTTTTAGAATTACCTCTTACATCTTAAGAATGTCTCTAAATTGATGGAAATGTGTTATTGTGCGTAGCTTTGTGTCGTTTCTTGTCATCAACGCCCAACAACACACACCCTGAGCATCAGTAAACATCTGGCTCCGTAGAGAACATTTTTAGAGGGTTTTAATGCACCGTCTTTTAGTTTGTATTTATCAATGAGCTGGTTGTCTCTTGAGGATCGCTCCGTTGGGATCTTTGGCTCGCCGTCCTGTAAATTCATCCCGTCAGCGTCTCCAAAAAGCCTCAGAACAAGGAGAAAACACGCGAAACAAGTCGCTCAAACCCGCACAAGCCGTCTCATCTCCTGACGCACCCCTCTGTTCCCTTCACAGCCACACACAGAACAAAAGAGTCCTCAGCTCCCTCTTTTTGACTAATGTCAGTAATTGTCTTTGCTGATAACGTGTTGGCTTTTGTTTTGTTTTTTTTGTGTGTTGCTGTTGCCTCTCAGGGGCTGCCTTTGATTCGCCGTCAGCCTCCGGGATGACATCTCCCTCCGCCTGCCGGTTGGGTTTCGGCGTGGAAGCTCCACGACTTCATCAGCCCGGCTGGTGCCTGGCTTTGATGTGCCGCCGGCGTGTGTTTGTCAGTGGAACACTTTTGACAGGACTGAGTCTAAACGGGCTGGTCTGAACACGCAGCCGATCGGCTGGATCATTTGGAGTATAAAACATCTTCATGAATATATAAAACTCTCTTATTTGGTGGATGTTGGTGCAGCTGGAACTTTGTTCATGTTTTCCTATGCTCCCTGAGAATGATTTTGGGCCTAAATGTATCATCACACCTCTGTAGAGGTATCAGAGAGACCCCACAGCATGATGCACCCTCCACTGTGCTTTACTGATGTTCTGTTCTTCAAGTCCTCCGGCTTACATGTTATAAGAGTTCCTTTTTGATTTCCTCATCCCACTGAGCACCATCTTTTTTTCTTGTGGGCAGGCTTTTGTAAATGTTAGTCTTTCCTTTTTGCATCTTACTTTAATTAGTGCGCTCCTCGCTGTTTGCTCCCAGAGTTCTAGATGATTTGGTGTGCGCTCTGTTATCTGACCTAATCTCAAGCTTTTTGGAAGTGTTAAGTAGCTTTTAAAATTTTTTGTTGATTTAAAGTGTTTTTTTCTGACTGTTGGCATTAAGATTTAATACTTGTCTTATCAAATTATTTATTAACCAGAGTTATAACCGGTCAAATTAACATGATGACCTGCTTCACCCTCTCGAGCACTCAAGCAATTCTTTGCTTTTACTGTTGAAAATACCATAGACATAAATCGAAACAATGAGCCTTTTATCATGTTCAGTCACCCTTTCTTTGTGCATATTTAAATATTCTGACTTATGAACTTATTCTGAATGAACTGGCCTAATTTTATATTTCCAACATTATAATAAACTCCTTTTTAAAAAAATACCTTATTAATATAAAAACAAACGTATATCAATCACTGTTTTGAGTTGATTTGCTGACCAATCAGAGCAGACTGAGCCATTTTAGGAGAGCGGGGCCTTAAAGAGAGGAAAGGTAAAACAATATGTTAATTTTAAAAAATCATTTACATTAATTTTTTAATTTAAACACATAAACCTATTCTCGTACACCCTAAAATCCAAACTCTGAATGTCTACGTGAAGCTGATAGAGGCACTTTAATAAATATGACCAGCAACGTGTTATGGGCTTGTATTAGTGTGTTTGTGTGTGTTTGTTAGAGTGCAACTGAGTTTGCATACATAAAATGTGCAGCTGACACACTCATGGGGTATGTGTCCCCACCGTGCTAGGTGACTAAGAACTAAGAGATGAAAAGCCAACCCAAAGTCCCATAACCAGGCCTCAGTGTTCCCTGACCAGCCTGTTGGCAGTGGCCACTCAAAGGTTTGCTTGGAAAGAGGTGGTGG